ATAAATTATGCATTAGAGTTGCGAAGTAATAAAAATTTCGCGTTGTGAATTAATTAAAGTTTATGGTAATCATTTGCTTACTGTTGCGAATTATAAGATTGTTTCTAGCATTTTTCATTATAAATTCTTGAAGAGTGATTTTAGAATTTGTTTTTGACTTCTTTTTAGAACTGTATTAGAAATGTGTTAACTTTATAACTTTATAATATTGCTGTTTGAAGTAGTTTTTTTTAAACATAACAGTCTTTATAGAATTCATTCTAAGAATTAGTGTCGCGATATTTTCTTCTTACGGTTGTTTTAATTGTGTTGATAGATAATCGCGTTTTTTAAAAAGTAATGTTGCGTTTATGAAGCGCCTAAATTTCTTCCATTAAGTTCGTGGAAGTGTGTTTCATGTATAGATGTTAATGACTCAAAGGTGGAGTAAATAAGAGAAGACAAATACGATGATAATCTTTGAGATTCTCCTGCTGGTAATTAATTATATGTTATAAGATTTCATTAAATATTTTATGATTTAAGTCTGTTGCAGAAGCCAGTAGACCATGGACGACTGAAGACTGATATTCCATCATATCCAATAATAATATTCCCTTCCTTTTATTCTAGATTCTTCAGAAACATATCTCTTAAATATCTGATAAGTAAGATTTATAAGAATGTTTTTAAGTTTCCATAAATAGAACTCAGGTAGAGTTAGAATTAGGAACTTTTTAAAGTTTATAATTAAATTTTTATAATTGGGTAGAGTGTCTTTAAATTAGCACGTAAGTAGGAACTTAATGGGGATCGTTAGTTAATAGATAATTAGACGAAAGTAGTTTCTAGAGATATAATATAGAAAGAGAAATATAAAATTTTAGTAAAGAAATATGAAATTTCCTAAAGCTTGAAAGTAAGCTTTCATGTCTCTTTTCGAAGATGTTTTATTGAAACATTTTTTACAACGATCAGCATGCAAAGATTACATTGAATCCAGAATCTTACAATTTTCATTTATTTCAACATACTTGCTAAATGTACAATTGGCTTGCAACAAAATCACTTACGTCAGATAAAGAATATTGTTAGTGTTGCAAAAAAGATACACTTGAGTACAGATTCTCTGCAGATTTAATTATCGATGAGAGGTTCTTTTGATATGTTTTCTTATAACGTGCTTGACGACTTAAAGTAAAAACTTCTTTTTTTAAACTATATTTTTGAAGTATGTCATTTGTATTGCACGTTTATTGCCTTCATTTAATTTCTATATGAATACATTTAGAACAAATATTACATATATGTATTTCTAAATATCGTACGTAAAAGTAGTCTGTAATTTAAACGAAATGTGTGCTAGAAACGATCTAAATACATTACCGTTATAGTTTCAAGAAATCCATAAATGGACAAAATTGACATCGATCATGTATTTCATGAGTATCTTGAGTTTAATCTGTAGATATCTGTATCGAATTTGCAGCACAAACGATAGTAGCAAGCAATCCTTTCTAATTGTTATTAACCCTTATTTACTTACAGTTTCATCACAGCTTGATTATGTTTTCCTTGTTAATATCTAACTATATATTTTGTATATTTACATGTATGAATAATTAACAGAGTAATATCAGTATTTAATATATCATTTTGAAATTCCGTTGCAACTTTTGCATAGATGAAATTATATTTCAAGGTTTCTTACGTAGTTATATTTAGGTTTAGAAAAAGAATATAAATATTTCAGTTTCTTTCGAACTTATACTCTTGACAATTCTATTCAGTAGAAATAAAGCGACATTTCGTACGATAATGTTTAACAATCAGTTTTATGATCGTTAAAAAATTTTAATAAATTTTAGCCTTTTTAAATAAAATCTAGCTTAGTACATTGGTTGGGAAATATTATTATATTAGACCGAGTCAAAGAAGCAATTTTCCAAACATCATCAGAGATTTTTCATCTTTATACGTATATTTTTTTTTTAAACATTGGTCCATTCGAACTCGAATAACAAACAACTTTCTGTTTTCTGAACAAACGCAACTCGTATCCACTTTCGTTTCCAATCTCTGGTGTAAAATGTGAAATAAAAATAAACGGACAAGTTTCTCTCTCTCTCTCTCTCTCTCCCTCTGCACGTAAAAATGTTTCTTCACTGATTTCATGTGCGTATTAGTCGTACTAAAAATAAATTAAACTGTAGAACGCCATTGACTTAAATATGTTCGATTGTGTGTCATCAATGTCACCATATCATCGCGCGGGAGAATATAAAAATAGATATTTATTATTCATTTGGCTAAGCCTGTGTTTTTTAAAAAACAACGCATATATCACTCGACGTTAATGGATTGTCATTTTTTGCTAGACTTCTTTTCTTTTACGCTCGATCAGAGTTTAAATTCTACGGAATTCATTCATTCCTTCGTTCTCGTTACATCGTTCGAGGAAAAATATTTTTTCGTGCAATTGAAGAACGATTTCGATATTGTACGCAGGTATACGTATAATGAAATAGGCCGCAACTCGGTTTAACAATAGGATAAGGAAGAT